AAAGCTACCTCATCTTTTGGGAAAAATCCCTTGTGAATGTATTCTATTACACTAACTGGTGTGATGTACAAGGGGCCCTCTAGCAATATGTAACGGGCTCCTCTATAAAATTTGATTTGATTTAAATTAGCACAGTATGTTCGAAATGATCCTGTCTGTTGTTTCTGCTTTCTTATCCATACCCCAGAGAAGTGGAAGCTATTTCAACATGTGACCCCCTTTTTTATATTAGCCGTAATCCTGTTTAAAGCCGATATTCCAGACAGGGCCATCAATCCACATGCTTACATCAAGAAAACCAATACATGTGTTTGGCTCGAACCCAGCAAACCTGACATGACGTGCGGGTGAATCCTTTATGTGTAGAGATGAGCTGTGTACGTGTAGTGGAGGGGAAATAGAAGCTTTCCCATTTAAGTCCCACAGGTTGGGCACAAGAGCCTTAAGACACAGAGAAGAAAATGTAAAAAGCATTCTGGGGAAATTAAAAAAGCTGCCCTTGCAGTGGGACTCCTCCCGTACTGCAAAGGTTAATACTGTGTCCTTCGCTCCCCCAGCAGCTGGTGCTCTCCTTTTCTTTCCGATGCCCTGGGATGTAGATAGGCCCTTGGCATCCTCACTTACAATGCAGGACTGGTCCTGTATTGTACGTGGTGGTGTCAGAGTGCAACCAATGGACGGAGCTGCAGGAGGAGTGGCTTTAGGGCGCCAGTCACCAGGTGCCTGCTGGAGGGAGGGATAAGGTAAGTAAAAGTGATTTTCAATGGAATCCCAGACAAGAACAAGTATGCACAATTTCAAGGCATCCCAGTCTAAAATATATAGATTTTAGGGGGTTCCCATGCATAAACACAGAATAAGTCACATCGAAGTGCTCCCTTTATATCAAGGTCACATCAGAGTCATCCTTTGCATCAGTAGCCCACCTTTACCTTATGACCTCCCCTTTCAGATCAGAAGCCCCTCTTTCATATCCAAGTCCCCCCTTTACATCAGGAATCCTCCTTTACCTCAGTCTTCACTCCCCCCTTTACATCATTGTCCCACTACCACAAAAGTTTGAGGAAGCCAGAAGGCACACCAGGGTGCCACGGCACTCTGGCTGAAAAAGGCTGGTTTATGGGGTCAAAAACATGCAATTTGGCCTAAACTAAAAAAGTGTGTGACAGGCATCTAGCTACAAGTGACAACAGTTCACTAGGATGTGAACGGGCACCATTGGAACGGGCACCATTGAAAACAATGTGATTCTTCTTGTTGAGTGTTCACACACATAGGAAATATGCAACAAAATGCTCATGTTTGAATTGGGCCTAAGAGTGGCCAATTGGCTCTGAAGGATCAAAAGGATGAATAAATAATAGCAAACTATACACAGGAACAGGGTTTTTAACACATTTACACACATTGGCAAAATTGCTTACATTGATTAATTTTTTCAGATGTCTATTAAAAAAAAAAAAATGATAGTTTCCCTTTAAATACTCCTCATAGATGCATTTTACTGGCATCTACAGAAAAAAATGCCTCAAAGGTTTAGTGCCAGCCATTCTGGCTAACTACCTCCTAGGGCTTGTGTCTCCCTGAGCTAGTATATTTTTTCAAGGCATCTGTATAATTTGACCCTTTCCCAGACATTACGCAGATGACCGTACATATTTATAATAGTGTCACCTGAAACTGAATGCAAACAGCAGCACTTCCTTTTATAATAGATCTAGCGAGGAAGGAGGGAGCTTCTGACTGCTGCAGAAAGATAGTTCTGAGATTTCTGCTACTCCACACATTTCAGCTTCCTGAGACTGCTACCTCAACCGTGCCTTGTACAAATGGCAGTGTGATTGCAGATCAGCCTGGCTCAGCGCTTGCAGGCATACGTATACTTCCTCTGCACAGCTCTATTAAGTGATGTAATGTTAAGCTCTAGTGGCAGTGAAGCAGAAAAGCACAGTTACTTCTTACTAATACATCATTCAAACTCACAAGCCTCTGAATATACAGGATTAGAACCAGCATCTTAATGCAACCTATGGCATATTGTAAAAAAGGAAAGAAGCAATATATAGTAGTGTTCAACCCACCAAGGAGGGCAACTGTCATTCAGAAATCAGTACATACCAATTCACTAACTGCATGCCCAATCGTGCTGCTGCCAAAATTCCAGCACTATGTGGCCCGGTCGGCACCCCCTCCGTTTGACCAAAGTTAATATTTGTTTAACTTTAGTAGAAGGAGCCGGTCTGAAAATTCTCAACCAAACAGTGACTGCAGCCATTTAATTGCAGTCACTGTTGGGTATTCTGACACCAGCATGCACCAGCTGTCCGAATACAATAGCCTGGCAAGGGGGATTCTTCCATCCACACTGCTTACTGTTCGGTAGTGCGGAACGAGAAAGAATGATCAGTGTATGGCCAGTCTAGTTGTCTCCCGACTGATGCTACAATATAAACGTAACTGTGAAAGCTGCCATTGTAAAATGATCATGTGCAGCGTTCTGGCACAAAAGAAGTATCAAGAGCTCCTAACTTTTAGCTTGCTGCAAAATTGTCAGGGGTATTTTATATAAACCAAAAAAAATGATTTTAAACTTTTGATCACTCCGCAATGGCAGCATGAATTTAAAACAAGAAAACTATTTCTGCATTGTTTTGATGTCATATTGCTTCCCGTACAGTAGATCCATTGACTGCTATCATTGATTGCAGAATGAGTAAAGATGGTGTTAGACTGGCAGCTACCCCATCAGTGTGTACAAAAGTGACAGAAGTCTGTCCACTTTATTTATTAATCTTTTTTAGCAGCAAACAACCAAACTCACTATGACTCCTACTTCAGATATTTTTTTTTGAGCAGATGCAGGTTAAAACATCTACGGTATGCAAAATGTTGTTCCTATAATCATTTAGGTGTTACAACTGCATTTGGTATCGCCTGCCCTTCACTTTTAGATGGTAAGCTCTCATGAGCAGCACAGTGGCTTAATAATTAGCACTTATGTATTGAGGGTCACCGGTTCAAATCCCAGTCAGGTCACTATCTGGAAGGAGTTTGCATGTTCTCCTGTGCTTGTGTGGGTTTCCCAAACTCCAAAAACACGCTGGAAGGTTAATTTGGTCCTGTATGTGTGTGCAATAGGGGCCTTAGACTGTAAGCTCCTTGTAATAAATAAAGTAAATGAGCAGGGCACTTGAATTGTACTGCCTTTATTTTGTAAAGCGCAGCATAATAAAAATAGCCATGTATATTTCCCAGTGATCTACGGGATACTTGGATTAGCTGCATCATCACCAGCATTACTGTGAGTTACTGAACAAGCCTGCAGCAAGCAAAATACTAACAAAGCCATCGCACCAGCATAGATGTCAACAACTAAAATTTTTAGAAGCAGAGTTAAGCAATGGCAGCCTAAAAGTTCCCTCAGTACAGGTTTCAAATTGATGTTGTGTGTCATCTCTATATAAAGGAATTACAGAACACATGACCATCTTCTCGCAAGATCTGGGCTACTCAACATTCTCCAACACCTGGCCAGAAGGAAGAGGACATTACCCTTGCCTAGGCGCCATGGTAGAAAGTTGGGGAAAGGCAAGTATACAGTATCATCTAACTTCCCCCTACCTTTTTTGGGGGGTGGGCATTTTGAATAAAGCTGACCATACACTGAGTTAATATTCGTTCTGCCCCCTAGTTGCGACAGGTGCTAAAAATATTATTAAGAGGTGCACGGTCCACTTTAACATGGCTAGCAAAACACACACCAGTCAAATAAGAATTAGGGTTCCCGATGGGGCCAAGTATTGCCGGCTTAAGAGGTGCAAGGTCCACTTAAACATGGCTAAGAAAACATGAGTCAAATGAAAAATGGGGGGTCCTGATGGGGCCAAAATTCGACCAGTGTATGGCAAGCTTAGGAGGTGCAAGGTCCACTTTAACCTGGCTAGCAAAGCACCGACGTACCCTACTATAAAAGCAGATTTTTAAACAAAATGTGTAGGACTTCTACACATATAAAAATACCACAAATCGTATCAGCGAGCTCAGACACAACAGCCTGAAGTTGCACTAATCCATCCCCAGCTAATATAATGTATTACATTTCCAAGTTAGGCAGCATGGGACAGTTCTGCCAGGAGTATTGTACACCATGAGCCAACTGTCACAGGCTGCTTCATTCCTTGAGGCTGTTATGCAGGCGGCATTCGTCACAAGTCAGCTCCGCTGCCACATGCACACAGGGGAAAAAGAGACCCCAGCTTGAATAGCAGCCCTAAACATAGCCTTTCATCTTACACACCAAGCCTGAACTGTCATTCATCAATCCTTTCCACACAATGCTGCTGTGTAAGCCGGTGGGTTGCCTCTGTCAAAGGTGATCTTGACTATACTGCTGCAATGTAAATTCAGTTTTATAGATCCAGCCTATACTTTATCACCTGGGTCAGCAAATGAAGTCGAAGAACAACTTTTGCTCAAGGCTGAAAAATTCATCAAACGTAAATTAAATACAACGGGCGAAGCATAGGGGGTAGATACAAGAGGTTATGGTTTCTTCGGAGTTCATTACAATTGCAGCATTCAGCATTTCACAAATCCCTGAACTCACAAATTGATAATTGATATCAGCTCATCCAAGCATAGTGTACAATTGGACCTGATAATGCAAGCATTGCCAGTAATAACAATTCAACACTTCACTGCTTAATTTCATTGCCAGAAAACAAGAAAATGTGTTTTTGTCTATTCATTGTCAATACTTTTGATGAATGAGCGGTGATGTGCTCGCAATTTTATTTTCTCCTTTGCCAATAATTTTAAAGAACTTATTGATGTAGCTAAGAATTCTGTTCAGAAAAAGCGGCAAAGGAAAACCAAACACAAGAGTATTAGGGTGACCTTTCTAGACCTCTGTCGCTGGACTAATGAAGAGCTCTGTGCCTTTCTTTGATTACCAAGGCCACCAAGGGGCACAGGGGTGTCAATCATCTCATCACATTTACCTGCTGGGCAGTTACAATCTGCCGGCACTTCTCTTGAGATTCGTATTTTTGCCATGTGTTCATATGACCTCTGTAGACAAAAAAAAAGTAGAGACACTGATAAATACACAATGTAAAATGAAATACAAAAATGCAGGGTGTTCATTAATAACTAGCAAAAAAAGACGTATATGGGGGAGGGGGGTAACAGAGGACTTGCATTTATGTTTAGTCCGGAGTTGGACAATATCCAAGAGCCAGGTAGCTAATGACCCTTAGAAATTACAGCTAGTCTAGCTTTCCTCTAATTGTTGTCATTGGCTCCTGGATTGGACAGACTGGCTCCTGAACTCCATATTGATTTACCCTCCACTGCTTTAATCCTTTATTTTATGTACCCATGTACCCCAGATTGATGCTCACAGATATTCAAGCAGCACCCCACTGTGTAGAAGCTCCTTGATAATGGAAAGTGGCTTCCACGTATACTTGGAAATACATGCACCAAATAACCTCTGTTTTTTACTAAAGTGAATAAAACAGCCTGAGATACTGCAAAATCCTTTTATTATTTTGTAAATTGATGCTGCTCTGCCAAAGAAAATGAAATTCACTTTGGCAGCTTTTATTTAAAGTGACACTAAACTCAGGAGTTAAATCTTAAAAATACATTCAAGTACCTCAACTATTAACAAAAATGTATCTTATTTGTGTATCACTCAGCTGTAGATCCTCAAATCATCTCTGAATTCATGCTGACACTGTCCTTCCTTCTGGAGGGTGGATACTTATGTTCCCCATGGTCCCTGTGTGTGCTATAAAGTAGCGACCGATCCAAGTTCACTCCCGTGATGGACTACAATCTCAGTGTAAATGAGTAAACTAAACATGAGATTGTAGTCCATCATGGGAGCGAGCTTGGAGCCGTGGCTACTTTACAACACCACACTACTCTGAATTTGTTGTTAAAGCCTAGTCCAGCCAAAACTGTTATTTTGTTTTGTATTGAGTGGGGAAGGGTTTTTATTGCTGTCTGTGTCACCGGTAGGGAGAGTTTTCCTTACTTACTGCCCAGTGAAGTTATCAAATGCAGACAAAGGTGGCAACAAAATACAGTTTTTTAGTATGTTTCAATCCTGTATCCACCTGTGTCATTGACCTCGTGGAGAAAAACACAGAGTCACAGATAGCAAGAAAAACCAAACAGAGGATTTCACTCTTGCCCACTCTACTTAAAACAAAACTATCACAGATATATTTTGTTTGCAAAAAAATGCTCACTACCTAATAAGAAAACCCAGCAATGGCAACATGCTTGCTGGGAGCCTATGTGTATATGTAGTTAAGTCTGACTGCTAGAGAAAGAGGGCATGTGTCCCTCCTCTGAGTAAAAAAAGCAATATGTGCAGTCTAAATCATCTCCTGCTTTTTTGGTCTATTTTGCAAAGACAACCTCCAAAAAACTGGTGCTCTAGCATATGGTAAACATATTGCATATTTGCAAGTTAAAAAAAATACCATCCAACCCTTCATCTTGTATTGTTATTAATGAGAAATCAGCCTGCCTGTGGACAACCTAAGACAATATATCCATACCCCAAATTTCCCCAAGCTCTCATGACCTGTGGCCAGAGTAAAAAAAGATGGAATGTTTTCAAATCCCAGAAAAAACTGTGTTTACTGGGCTAAATATATATGCTAAATAAGAACTCTGCATATGATTTTAAGCCTCCAATCAGGTTCTTAAACGCTGATAGTTGAAATGTGATTGGTGGCTGTAGGTAATATGAACATGTAAACTTTGCAAAGGTGATTAGATTAAGTTGCATTTTATAAAATGTTTTAGAAACATTCTATGTGCTAGCAATTGTGGATGTATGGTTGGCTACAGGGGCATAAAGGAATGACTACACATCTCACATAATGTAAAGGCACAAGTCATTTTTGTTTATTAAAAAGGCTAGTTTTACAGGAGAATCCCACTAAGCAAAGTACATATAAACTGACCACACTACATACCCCTATGCAACTTCAGAAACCCAGTCTCTGAAAAACATACAGATCCATTGTCAAGGATTTTCCAACATAGGTAAAATGCAGAGAAATAAATACATTGGTTTCTATAGGTCTCACTCCCACAAATGCATTTCATTTCAGTCTGTTAAAGTTATATTAAATCGAAAGGTTCCTAAGCAATTTCAAATGCTGATGAAATCACTTACAATGGATGCTGCTCCTTGATGTTTAAAAGTTTTAGTTTCCTGTAGAATCAGCTAGTCCCCTGAGAACTGGCCCTGATATCATGTTTTAAGCGCTGCTTACCCTTGCAGGGTCCTATGGAATAACCCTTGTGTGTGCGCTAGTGCTAATCATTGTGTATCTACACAAACAGACAGGCCAAGGCAGGACAAGCCAATCCCTTCTTCCCAATATTCTTTCCTCCCTTCTCCAAGTTAGAAAATGGATAGCTGCGGGGGAATGCTCTGACCCTTGTGATCTTGTACTGGACAAGAATTTTAGGAAGTAGAGCTGAGAGAGCTGGAGCTGTTTGGAAAACATGATGACTGAGTGCTTGGGCAAATACTTTGAAATGGCGATGAACATTTGTTTGATCTGGATTCATTAATATAAAAGGTTGCATTTTTTGGTGCATTATTTTGCTATTCAACTCAACAGAAATGCAATCCTACATATTGACATGTGTCATGCATGCATTATGGTCTGAATGAGCCCTATCAGTTAGGGCCTATGAGTTACTAACAGTATTACATAGGTAGGAAAACTTGTGTTTGCCAGCCTTCCTCCTCAGCAAGTCATACAGGTAAGGTACAAAAAATTAGCCTGTAACAGTCGTCCTTCTGGTGCAACATATGCCAGTTATAAAGCAATAGTGAATGTGGTCACGGTATGTCATGGCTCTCTGTTACTCCAAATGATCTTACAGTGAACCAGCATGCGCACCATCTAAGCCATGGTAGAACTGGAAATGCCATTGCTGCAGGAACTGTTGCCCAGCTTGCGACCAATATTCAGTGGCAGCTATATAAAAAATGCTGGCTCCAGTGCAAAAATTGTAAGGTGCACTGATTAGTGCTAGGGAAAGCTTCCAAAAATTCAAAATGAAGCCCAGCAAAGGATATGTATGAGTTTGTATGTTCACATCCCTATATGTTAAAGAGGGATGATGGACCATCATGCTGACCTTGTGAAGTCTGAGCAGAAAAGTTGTGACAAAGTTGAATATATTCAGCGTTCACATAAAAGTTTTGATTCATCATATCATTTGTTTCCATGAGCACCAAGACAAACTTTTATTGTGAAATTATCACAATATAGAGATGTCCTTAGTCCAAAAACAAGCAGCTACCATTCATATATCCTTGTTCTTTAATTGTGTAATGCATTATATCGTCTTAAAGCTCCTATGTTCTCCTATTCTCATCTATTACACATAAATCTGGTCAATTCACTACAGCATAACAGGTGGTATTTTCATTACCATGCATTATGTTCTCTTTTTTTAGGATCCAAACTATTTATTTTTTTTCAATTCAGTGAAAGGTTTAAATTTCATGGATTTACTGAGTTTTCTGCATGCATCTTAAATGAACATTATTGCACAGGTTAGCGCTCCTTAAAATACCACTGGTCTTATGTCAGTAATACCTCTGAGGTTCTATGAGGTGTCTACTGAGGAGATTAGTAAAAGCAGTCACAGACAATTGTATGTACCCACCAGGAGGTCCCTACATACATTTACTAATCTCTGTACTTCAGTTAAAAAAAAACAGCTAGATAACGGTATAGAGAAATGAAGTGTTAGCTCAGTACAAGTCAATAGCTTGTCAAGTTCAACCTGTTCCAGACACACATTCTCTTCCAGGTCAGATAGCAGATCATTTCACAGTTAATATTTTGTAAGATAGGGGTTACATGATCACTTACATTTAACAAGCAAATAAATCAAGAGTGAGATAGGCAAAGGCAGTAATTCTAGTACTTCTGGGTCATCAACACATTCACTTTATATTATGCAGTGTTAACTTTACTGATAGCCTTTCTGCTGCCTACTCTTGTGATGAGATGTGCCAAAGAGCGAGTGTCGATTATAAGCAGCAAAATGTCACATATAAAAATGCGTATAGCACAGCGGGCTGCACACTGACAGCTGCCTCAGCTCGTGTGAGACACGTGGAGAGTTTTCAGTTATCACTATCCGGATAGGCCCCTTTGGAATGAAGGTAAAACCTGGTTCTGCTTCTTTAAATGCATATACCACTTTTTGGAGAAAATGAATACATGTCCACAAATGTAATTGGAAAATAGGCCTTAAGTTTTTGCATTGGAGACTGCAAAGCATTGCACGATCTCCGGATGGTGGGTGCAGTGCACAGGCTCCTGCAGACTATTCCCCCAGCCCGTGACCATACCGAGGTATAGACCTTCCAATATGGAGCTGGAGAAAGTTATCAATGGACTACCACACTTGTGTTCCTTTAAGATCTATGAGTTCTCCTGCCACACTGGCAGATGGGACTTGATGTGTTATCATTCACAGATCCTGTGAATGATGCGGGGCCTCGCACAACAGCTTCGGATAAAAAAAGATACAAGATTCTGTGGGGAGTAGAACCTTGGGAATCAGTAAAAGCAGAGTTAGTTTGGGAGTGGGGGGCGGAGCATGATCGTGTTGTATCTTGCACCCTAAGTATGGGTGTAAAATGAAACATTGTCAAAATGTGGAATTGGTCTTTAAATCACACCTGTACTTAAAGCAGACCTTTACCCATATCTTTAAAAATAACACCACCCCGTTAGAAATGTTTAGTAATGACAATCTACAAACACATACTTCTAGATAATTGCCGGCTTTGTATTTTCTGAATATATTATTTCTCTTTTCTTCCCCAGTCTTCTGACAGTGGCCATGTTTACTAATGGCAGATTACTACACTCTCTTATCTGCCAAAGAATTTGTATTTCTGTCCATCTAGTCCTGAGATTTACACAGCTCTGCCATGCAGTATGACCCTATCTGGCAGGACAGGAGACCTGCTCCTTCTTTGCTGCAGTTAAGTAACACTTACTGGTCTTGTCCCTCCTTGCTATGTCTCTGACTGGAGAGTGTCAGACAGATAAGCTTATATTTCCCTTACTCTGTTCTTTCCTCCTATCACCATGCTCTTTGATAGCACTTAAGCACCAAATAAGCAGCACAACTAACTGGCTCCTTGTGCTGCTTCTCCCTCTCCCAGACTGAGCTCTGCTGCACAAGGGACTGCAGGAGGCAGATACCAGGTCAAGTTTAGATACTTACACTGCTTTGGACTATTAGTGTTAAATAATAAAGGCAATATCTGAACAGGGGTCATTTCCAGTGGAGCACTGAATGGAGGACAAGTTTTAAAACACTAGGTAGGAATGTCCTGTGAGGTCCAAAACTATATCTCAAAGGCAATCCCTCTGATAATATGCTGCTCATGCTATAGTGCCACCCTCTGGCAAAAAGTAAAACTGGTCATGTACTGTTAAGTTTGGCCGATCCAAAGGAATCTGCTGAAATTCTAACAGTGTGTGGCCCTGCCGACTCAACAAAAGAAGATTGACTTTTGGCATTCAGCTGCAGTCACTGTTTGGCTATTCTGAAAGCTGTGAGTTCCGGCTATCGGAATACAATAGCCCAGCAGGGAAGATTCCCCCATCCACACAGTGTGGATGGAGCAACCTGCTGGATCTCTTATCTAGTAGTGAATGGCCAGCTTAACACTGCAGTATGCTAGTTTCTTTTACAACAGTCTGAAAAGGGTTCAGTTACACACAAATCTACCCCAGCTATCTGTAAATCAATATTGTGGTGTAGATTACCTAGGCAAAAATGCAAGGGGGATTAGTGACACCCAGAACCTCACACTGGTCCTGGGACATTGAACATTATATGAGGACAAACAGTCTTTGATGTATTTCTATTACAAAGTGTAAGCCTTTCATAAAGCATCTTTTTGCTCATTTCATTGATCTGCAGGTATGTATAAGTATTTATTCTGAATGTCTAGAACATACACACATCAACTACAGGTTTCTGGTGGAATCAATAGATAGTTTGTGTGCTCCAGGACAAGGTATTGCCATAATCATTACAGATCAGAAATTTATTTGGGTCTTTATCTTTTTTGACTGATCCCTAGCTTGCTTTCAGGACAGTCATATACACTTAGAGGAGCCAGCGATGTTATAATAATCTGTGGCTTGGCCATGCACAGTTCAATATCTGGCCAATTCAATGAAAACAATATCGCTTGTGATCCTGTCTTATTCAGTAGTGACGTACACTAGTATATCAAACTGTGCACTGAAAAACAAATGTACTGTCTTATAGGAACAAACTGTCTGCAGGCGCAGTGAAAGACCAATTACATGCTCAGAGAACCTTTAAGAATAAAAGAGTGTTCATTCCAATATATGTATTTATCCAAACAGCAGCAGCTGACCAATCAGAGAAGCCGGGGGGAAATATCAGATTGGACACTGAATATTTAACATACACATGAATGGACATAATTAAGAGTTGTAGTTCTGTTTTTATGAAACATTAACAGATCTATGCTATGCATTTATTCTGCATGGTCTGAGTTTTAATGCTTGCATACTTAATCTGTTTCACTTGTTTTTACAGCTGTTTTTATACTCAGCCTATTGCACTTAGGCATATCATTTGAACGGAGCGGCTATTTTATAGCAGTAGTATACTTCACACCTAATATATGTTAAACTAGCAATTATAAAATGATTTTATGTAAGAACCCATTTTGCGAAATGTGTATATAAATACTAGGGTGCATTCTTTCACTTATAACATGGGTATTCTACAGCAACGTACAGCAGAACAGTGCACCGGATTGTTGTGCTAAGCAAGTGGCAGTAGAAAAGTAAGAATTTGACCATAAGGCTTAAAGGTGCAGTCTACCCAAACCGAATCACCCAAACCCTTCTTACGTTTTTGGCCACACAACCTGGCTTGGCCCCCTGACTTTGAGTCTCTTCCTGTTGTATTCAGTATAGGTGTTCTACAGCAACATACAGCAGAACAGTGCACTGGATTGTTGTGCTAAGCAGTGTTCAGCAGCAAACTAATAATTTGACCATATAGCAAATAGGTGCAGTCTACCCAAACCCTTACGTTTTTGGCCACACAATCTGGCTTAAGGCTCCCTGACTCGGAGTCTCACTCTTCCTGTTGCATTCGGTATAGGTGTTCTACAGCAACATACAGCAGAACAGTGCACTGGATTGTTGTGCTAAGCAGTTTGCAGTAGCAAACTAATAATTTGACCATATAGCATATAGGTGCAGTCTACCCAAACCTGAATCATAAACATTCTTGTAACGTTTCTGACTATTAAGAAGATGGCACCCTAACAGGCTTAATGGCTTTCCACTCAGTGTCTCACTCTTCCTCTTGCCTTCAGTATAGGTGTCCTACAGCAGAACAGTGCACTGGATTGTTGTGCTAAGCTGTTTGCAGTAGCAAAGTAAGAATTTGGCCATACTGCTTAAAGGTGCAGTCCACCAAAAACTGATTCACCCGCATTCTTCTGACTATTCAGAATAGGGCACCCTAAAAGGCTAATTCACTTCCTGACATGGAGTCTCACTCTCCCTGTTGCATTCTCTAAATTAATTGCAAGACCAAGTGGGACACTGGAAATTCCTTGCAATGGTAATGACAGGTGGTCAGACCTGAGAACCAATAGGCAAAATAGAAACCCTAATAAAAAGGTATGTAACGCACCAAAAAGGTAAAATCGCCTAATAGGTGACTTAGTCCACATGTATCTACCCAACACTCTGTTCTCTGGCCTCTATCTAGGGTTAAAACAAGCTACAAGCTTTAGGGTTCCAAAAAAGCAGTTGTACTAATAAGCTTATAGATTGTAAGCTCTCCTCCTAACCCTCTGATCTTGTATTGGAATCGTATTGTTACTGTACTGTCTCCCATTATTTTGTAAAGCCCTGCACAAACTGTTGTCGCTATATAAATCCTGTATAATAATAGTCATCATCATCATCATAGGGGTGCAACAGGTTTGCAGTAAAAACAAAAAACATTACAACCTAAAAAGTAAATGATAGGAAATCAGGTAAGTGGAGCTAAGGTGACAAAGATTTAACCATGCATTGGTAATATATTCTGCAGAGAGGCAATAGGGAAGACTTGACTGAGCAGCTGCCTCCATCTGCAGCTCTATTAATACTTTTGTATATGGTGGTTAATAATTTATTTACTTTGGACCTGCCATAGTTTAGGTTACATACTGTAAGTGGAAACAAATAAATGTGTGCCACAACAGAAAATTGCTACATTTCATGTCTGACTCCAAACAAATCATGGCAGATTTATACAATAAATGGAGACCCTGTGAAGTTTCACTCTACTATACAATGAATGAATTCTACAAGGACCTCTCCACGTTGAAACAGGATTTAAATCTTATCTGCTCCACCTATAAAGATACATACAATCTCCAGTAGAGTGTATATAGTAGTAGAGTACTAATGAGTTGTAGACAGTTAAAGGGGCTTTGATCAGAAACTCATGTTGGAGAAAAAGTGAAAAGAGCAAGGAAATGATCCACACCTGGGACAGAAGCTGGTCCACCTTCTCTTGGACTATGGAGTTGAGCTGATCCACAGATAATCCAGGCACATGGAAGATCTCCCCAGACTTGCCATGTTCTATAGCCCACATCCTGTCCTGCAGATCGCTGCTCTTCACATTCAGGTACAGACAGGATGCTAGAGAGAAAAGAGACACCACCAAAGCCAAAACACTGGGCAAAGTCCTACTCCAGCTTGTAGATCCATCTCCGGGCTTGTTCCCATCACACCTCTGGAAGTTGTCCACCTTACTCCCAGCTCCTTCTTTCACCAACATTTTCCTCCTTGTCTTCTAGGCACCTCTGATCAGCACTTCGCTGTCTGATCTGTAAGATCCTAGGTCTAGGAAGGGTGACTAAATGAGGCAATTGTTCTGAAGGAGATGAGATGTTATCTGCAGAGTGCAAGTGGTTCTTCTCGATCCTTCTCAATGGACTGATAAGTGGTCAGTGTCTTGCAGATCCCCTGTCAGTAGGATGTACCGGGCACAGTGATCACCGGTGGTCAATAGTTGGTGGTCTGTGCAGTCATGTGGGACTTGTTGCTTTCTCTTCTTGTAGCCCCTGTATTGAGCTGTGCTCCCCGTTGGAATAGAGTTGCATGCAGCGCAGGCAGTGAAATGAAAGACTAGGAGAGAGGTGGGAAACGTGTTTGAACAGCAGCTCGGTGAAGTGTGTGTGTTTTCCTGCCCCCTTGTGTGCTTTAAATATCCGAGCTGTCAGTAGAAGAAGCAGCGGCCAGTGTGTGCAGACAGCGGACCCTCCCAGCCCAGGACACTCGCTGGCTACAGGCTCATTACAATCCATTATCCACCTCCAACATCAGCCACTCAATGCAGCCCCCGGGAGAGCCCGATTGGCTGCTCGGCTACGGCTGATTAGCATAATAGGAGCAGGCTGCTGGGCATGGGGAGAGTGCCAGTGAAGGGGGGGTGCTTGGATTGGCATTGCTGCAGACTGCTAAGAGGGCTCATCATAAAGCCAGTATCCATCCCAGGGCATCATAATGTACTAATACTGGCTGCATCAGATTTTACTCAATGTCCTCTTCAAAGCAAACACCAGGTGAGAAGATCAGCTGTCAACACACCAGTTATTATATACCTCTTATAACTCATTTCTGAAGACCAATGTGGTGCTATAAATAAATCTACACCTAATAATCCTTCCCAAGAAATAGAACAGGTTCGGTTCTATATATCAATATCTCTACCCACTCTCAGAAAGTGCAAAAAAAAGA